GAGAGAGAAGGAAGGAAGGAAGGAGGAAAGAAAGGAAAGAAAGGAAAGAAAGAAAGAAAGAAAAGAAAGAAAGAAAGAAAGAAAGAAAGAAAGAAAGAAAGAAAGAAAGAAAGAAAGAAAGAAAGAAAGAAAGAAAGGAAGGAAGGAAGGAAGAAAGGAAGAAAGAAAGGAAGGAAGAAAGGAAGAAAGGAAGAAACTTTGGTGTCTGGAAAGGAATCTAATTTTCTCCAAGCCGTCAAAGCTGTCGCATTTCTCCAGCTGTTTGCAAAGCATGAACTAATGCTCTGAGAAAGAGACCTTTCATGACTGCATTTTATTTATGCACCTGTATCCAATGGTCATTACAGAATCAGGAGTTTGACTGAGGACCACAAATAAGTCTACTTCTAGACAAGACATGGGGCTCCCCCTGAGCTAGGGGAGACTCTAAGCTTTTATTTTTTCTATCCATCATTCTTACCTCAATGATTCAACTTACAGTCCAGCCATTATTCAGAAAATAAAATGCCATTAGAGAATATCATTTCATGAGGCATTTCATGTCAAAGTTCTCCATCAAGGGAAGGCTAGTGTCCTCAGACACAAGAGGGTAAGCTCTTTCCACTCATGCTGGTGTTTCTGAGCTGCTCAGAGAAGGATAGGATCCAGACTTGGGACCCAAAACTCTGAGATGGGGGTGTGGGGTCTCTGAGCTTGGACGGAGGTCCACATGCCTGGAAGTCAGATCTCCAGGAGGAGACACTGGGTAGCTGATGCTGGAGTCTCACAGAGAGACATGGTAAGTCTGGCTTCGCAAGTGTTGGAGAAACTACAAACAGGATTAAACAGGATGCAGCTGCCTCTGTGGGAGGAACTGTCACCACCAGGGTGATCAACCGTGATTGAAGTGATGTTCACAGGAACCACAAGCTGGGAGAAGGAGGCTAGAGCAATTCCCTTCCTCCTGCAGCCTGGTCGTTTCCATCAAGCACCACCTATTGGCAGAGCCTAAATGGGTGTCCCTGGCGGGTAGCAGGAGTTGGGTGGGGGGAGCAAGAATGCAGCCTGCAGAATCCCTGCCCCAGCATCCCACACAGGATGGGTTGGCAGCTTAGAAACAGCAGTTTTAACGACTGGCACAGCACTCTACGAGACTTTCAGCCTCAGAATACTAAGGCTCCAATTTTCAAATATTTCCTGTGCTTGGCATTCAGTGGGAAAGAAATACAATAACTGAGGAGCTGTGGAGGAACCGTTGTCTTGTGTGATGTTGGCAAAAGTGCACTCGGCTCAGAAGGTAAGCTTTGGATAAAACCTGAAGCCGGTAAAGGATGTTTCTCCTGCATATTTTAGCCCCTTCATTAGCAGTGAGGTAGAGGGGTGGGCTGAAGGCTTGCCTTGTGTTAGAGATGCGTAAACAAGAGACAAGGTTTGGGATACCACTGGAAAACCAAAGGACGTGGTTAATGGCAGAGACCAAGGAAAAGGTGGAGTTTCCTGCGTTTAAGAAAGTGTTGTGCAGCCTGGGAAAAGATTGCTTCTGCATGTAAGTTACTAATGTTGAAGAAAGCAGCCTCATGAAATTACCTCCAGGTCCACAGCCTCACATTTTCCTGTGCACTTCTCCGTTTTTTTTCCTTTCTTTTTTTCTTTTTTTTTTTTTAGTGGTTAATGCAATTTATATAACTTAAAAAATTTTACACAATTTCAAACTTACAGAAAAGTTGCAAAAGCAGTACAAGAAAAATTCCTCTACATCTTTACCCAAATTGGCTACTGATTAACATTTTTCCCTCCTTTGCTTTATTATCCATGTAATTTTATAAACATGATAATGCAGAAGAAAATGATTTGATAGTGGAAAGGAGGCCAGTGCTTGGAACTCTTCTGAGCCCACAAGTGCCCCATCCCAGGGAATTAACCAATGCAGTGCTGGGGTCACTCCCCATCCCCCCAAAAAACAAAAAACAAGGCAACCCATTCAGCTGAGTAAGGACAGAACATGTATATATTTCTGGAATGATTTCTGTTTAAAGCACGGAATAAGTGGGCATAAAGGACTGGCATTTGTTTATCTAGGAAACTTGTTTAAAGCTCTGGATAGCCAATGAGTTACTGACAGCTGAGAAAAGGAAATTGGCAAATCTTAGGGAAATAATCTCTGTGAGAAGAGTCATATTCATGGCCAAAGCGTGAGAGGCAGAGGAATTTTGAAAAGCTCAGGATGGAAATCACAGCCCCTCCATGGAGACAAAGACCCTCCCTCCACTCCCCACTCTCCTTTCCCAGCTGTCTCAGCCCCAGCCTCGCCCACAGTCTGGCTTGGGGATTCTGCAAGGCCCTTTCCTATCAAATGATGATAAAGAGGACATTTAAATTTAGGATAGGAAAACACGGCAAAAATCAGGGAATAAATGTCCAAGAATGCCCTTGGGGTAAATGCGTGATGCACCTTCTAAAAAGCCCCACAGCTCTAAGCCTATGATTATGGTCCTGAATTCTGTTTGGTTTTGGCGAGTTTAACTCTGGCCACTCACTTCTATGCAGGGTGGATGTTTTTCAAGTTCAAAGTGAAAACTCTGCCTTTTATCTTTCTTATGAGGTTTTTCTGGTCTTCACCTGGCATTCATGTGCTTCTGGCAACAGACACTTCTGTCCTCTGCCTCGTTCCATTGTGACTCAGCCCAACTAAGTACATGCCAATGCTTTGTGGGTGCTTTAATTAGCTTTGGGGGGAAAAGTAATTATACTGTGGTGATAGTCTTTTAAGAAGCCGGAGAGCTCTAGGACATCTTTCCTTCTCTGGGGCTATAGGCAAAGCACCAAGAAATCTAGAGGTCTCTTCTTTGATGAAGCCCCTCAAATTGTATGCAAGCCTTTTGTGTACATAAGGGGTGCTTTCAAGAGAGAGGATGTCAGTAGCTTTCACCTGTTTCCCAGAGAATTTCTTGACCTCATAAAAGGTTGAGAATCCTGAACCTAAGATTTATTGCATGAAGGAATGGAAGAAAATTAATAAATGAATAAAACGGCTATTGCTGTCCATTCAGTTTCTATTTTTCTCTCTCTCTTCCCTTAACAGAAGCAGTGGGGATTGAACCCAGGACCTCATGCACTTCAAGCATGAGCTCTACCCACCACCCCCCTCCATTCAATTTCTGATCCCCACCCCTATTCACATACACACACTTGGCTCCTTTTTCATCAATAGTTGGTCATGATTGTTCTGAGCTCTGTCTTGGGGGTTCAGCCAGCTCCTTTCAAACCACACACAAGTCAACCGCTGGTCTGCAGACCCACATTCCCTGGGAGAAATATTCCGGGAAATAATTGGCTTCATCTAACACAATCCTTGACCTTGTGTACAAAAACCCCTTGAGCTGTGGGTGGGAAATTCTCAGGAAAGTGCAGCGACTCCTACATAAAGTCAGAAAGAGAAGGAACACTCTTAGATGGAAGTGGTTAAAAAAGTGGGGGCAGCCTGCTGGGCACCTCTCCTCCATGCCCAGCCTGAGCTTCCTGACAGCAGCCCTACCCAAAGGCTGGCCCAAACGCCTGATATTTATAAACAGACTCAAAGACACACACACACCAACACACACCCCACCATCACCACCACCACCATCAACTTCACCCACCACCTTCTGAGGCCTGCCAGCTCTTGTAGACACTTTTGTTCATTCAATTAGCCAACACTTTGGAGGCCCAATTATGTGCCAGGCACTAAACAGGTTTTGAGAATCAAAGCTTAGTAAGCTTGGAGTCTGATAAGACGGCAAACAGACAATCACAGGGAGGTTGCGGTGCAGCCCCGCAAGTGCTATCACCAAAGCAGAACCAGGGTCCTGGCAACGCACAGCTGGAGAGGCACACTCATGGGAACTGGAGGGGCTCTCATCACTCCTCCCCCTGTTATGCATTCACCATGTGAACCTGGCCCCTGGAGTGCTGCCACCCCGAGGCCCTGGATGTGACCCAGGAACACTCAGATGGGCAGAGCAGGTGCTAATGGCGGGCGTCACCATCATATGATGGTGGCGGCTGCCCAGAGTATGGGACTGCACCCTCTGCCCTCCCTTCACCAGTCTGGTGCCTGCACTGCCTGCTGTGCTCTACTCTGTCCGACTCCAGCCTTTCCAAGTCCACCACATTTGAACCTAACAACCACATGGGCAAAAGATATGAACAACCAACCCACATGCTGATAATGAGCTACCCAGGGCCACTCGTTGTAAAAACAAGGCAAATTAAAGCAATACCAAAAGCTGGGTAAATGTTTTACAGATGGCTAAAATCCAGCACTGATGAGGATGTGGGGAAATGCACTTTTCATACATTGCTGGTGAGGGTATGAAATATAATCTTTTCGAAAAATACTCTGGCAATATCCAATAAAATTAGAAATACACATCACCTTTGACCCAAGAGTCCCACTTTGGGGAATTTATCCTGTAAGAATAAAAGCACCAGATATACACAAAATGTTATGATAAATCACAGAGAAAAAAAATGTGAAAAAAAAAGAATAAAAGCACCAGCATTGTTTATCATGGAACAGGAAAATAAAACTGGAAACATCCTAAATAGCCATGCTGGAGGAATGGCTGGCTAAATTATGATATCTGTACCAAGGAATATTGCACAGCCATGAAAAAGAGTAAGTTATATTTATACGTATTTGCCTAGAAACATACCAACGGTAATTTATTTAGAGGAAGGGGATAAAAGACACTATGGAGAAATGTATAGAGAAGAAGCTTATTCTTGAACAAAAATATAAGGGAAAAACCCACATACATTTCCATAAATACACACACACATACACATACACACAAACACATTTGAGCAGAGAGAAAGATGTAGAGAGTTACAAATCAAACTGTTCAGATTAGTTACCTCAAAGGGTACTACCAGAGGCAAAGAGAAGATTAATTGAGTTTTTCTTAATACATCTCTGTTTTATAATACTTGCTACAAAGAACACAATTTTTTTGGTAATTAAAAAATTTCTAGTTAAGGTTGGGGGTGTAGCTCAGTGGTAGAGGGTGTGCTTGGTGTGCATGGGGTCCTGGGTTCAAACCCCAGTGCCTCCATTAAGAGAAAAAATATTTTTAAAAATAGTTTGTTAAATAAAAATCTGTATGTTTAAAAAAATTCTAGTTAAGAGAATGAGAAGAAAGGCCACCAAGTGGGAGAAAATATCTGCTGAAAATATATCTGACATAGGACTGTTAAAGAGAACACTTAAAACTCAACAATAAGAACCAAACAACCTGATTAAAAAATAAGCAAAAAATGTGGACAGGTATCTCACCAAAGAAGATATAGAGATGGCAATTAGGCTTATGAAAAGATGCTCAACATCAGGGAAATGCAAATTACAATGAGATAACACTACACACCTATTGGAATGGCCATAATCCAAAATACTGACAACACCAAATGTTGGCAAGAGTGTGGAGCAACAAGAACTCTCATTCATTGCTTGTGGGAAAGCAAAATGGTACAGCTGCTTTGGAAGACAGCTCGGCAGTTTTTTACAAAACTAAACATACCCTTACCAAATGATCCAGCACACCTTGGTATTTCCACCCAAACAAGTTGAAGGCTTATGTATACACAAAAGCCCACATGGAGATGTTTATAGCAGCTTTATTCACAATTGCCAAATTCTGGAAGCAACCAAGATGTCCTTCAGTAAGTGAATGAATATGTCAGTTGTGGTTCGTCCAGGCAATGGAATATTATTCAGCATTAAAGAGAAGTGAGCTATTAAGCCATGAAAATGGAGGAAACTTAAATATATATCACAAGTGAAAAAAGTCAGTCTGAAAAGGCTACATACTGTATGATTCCTGCTATGGTAGTTCCCCTTACCTACATTTTCACTTTCTATATTCCCAGTTACCCAAGATAAACCAAGGTCTGAAAATATTCAATGGAAAATTCCAGAAATAAACAATGCGTAAGTTTTAAATTGTGCACCATTCTGAGTAGCATCATGAAATCGGGTGCTTTCCTGCTCTATCTTTCCTGGGACGTAAATCCTCCCTTTGTCCAGTGTATACACACTGCAGACACTACCCATCTATCAGAATAGGAAGAAAACATATATAGGGCTTGGTACTATCCACAGTTTCAAGTATCCACTGGGGGTCTTGGAACGTATATCCCACAGATTAACAGGGACCACTATATGTGACATTCTGGAAAAGGTGAAACCATGAAGACAGTGAAAAGATCAGTGGTAGCCAGGAGTGGGGCTGGGGTAGGAGGTGGAAGGAATGACTAGATGGAGCACAGAGGATTTTTAGGGCAGTGAAGCTATTCTGTGCAATACTCTTATAGTGGATACATGTCATTACACATTTGTCCAAACCCACAAAATGTACAACACCAAGAGTGAACCTTAATGTAAACTACAAACTTCAGGACATAACGATGTGTCAGTATAGGTTCATCAATTGTAACAAATGTCCGACTCTGGCTGGGGATGTTGATTATGGGGGAGGCAGTGGGAGGGGACGGGGTTATAAGGGAAATCTCTGCACTTTCTGCTCAATTTTGCTGTGAATCTAAAACTGCTATAAAAATCAGGTCTATTAAAATTGTTTTAATAACTCTAAAAAATTCTAGTTAAACATTTAGTCTTAGATACAGCCTATTTGGAAATGATCATTATATAGGATTGGCCAATCAGGATCCTGCCATTCAAAGGGATGCCAAGGAGCAGTTGAAAAGAATGAAATGGAGCTCTATCCGCAGCAATGGAAACGCATTCCAGGCCTAGAGATAGGTGAAAAAAAAAAAAAGATGCCATGACAATACATACGCATGACACCATTTGTATTAAAATAGAAACAAATCACACGGTGTGTATGTTTGTTAATGCACAGAAAATTGCTAATTGGAAAATGAGAGACTCTTAGTGGTTGCCTGTCTCTGGGGGATGGGAGGGAGGTCATATACCCTGCTGAGCTGCCTGAACTTTCTAAGAGTAGATTAGCTTATAAAGAAATTAAAGCTAATTATTTTAGGAAAAGCAAGTTTTTTCCTTGCGTCATATCAATATATTGCACTAAGATGTGAGTGTATCCTCTGACCAGCCACTATAAAGCTCATGTCAGCCTCAAGCTCACAAAATCAATCATCAGTTTCTATGTGTGGTACCACCTGACCCTCAGGTGTTATAAAACGAAGTGTCATAACCAAGCAAAGGTGTATCCAACTTAAAGAATTACAGCGATACTTATATTTATATAGCGCTTGACAATCTAGGAAGGGCAAGAAGTCCTCCGCAAGGAATCTGTCTTTATGGAAGTAATATATATTGCAAGCAGTAATTTTAAAGGTACATCATAAGCAGAATGGCCAACCTGTCCTCACTATAAACAGCTACAAAAAAAATCCAAAAAATACATCAACAACCTGTAACATCCCTGCCCACAGCTATTATATAAGCAATTAGGAGAAAATTCACTTTATAAAAAATTTTAAAACCCTTCCCACATGGAAGATCACACTTACTGTGGTTAAAGCACAGCCTAAAGACAAATTCAAAGTGTGTCTTCAAAAGCACCTAGACATCACTGGTTTATCTCTCAAGCTGCCTTTGTCCCCGGGGAGCAGTCTAAATCCCCCCAGAAAGCAGCCCTGGGGGATCATGTGACATAGAACATAGAAGAACAAACACACTATGCTTCCAACCCCACTTACCCTGGACAGAGCAAAACCAAGTACTTACAATATGGGGAGACTTTGGGTTACCTTTGGTATCTAATTTTATAATATTCCTTTTAATTCACGATTTTTTTTTGAAATCTTGTAGTATTTTAAAAGAAGCTTTTAAATGCAGTAACGGCTTTGACAATAAACTTTTCAGTGAGAAAGAATTCTTGTTTTATGACAGACGTCTATAGGAATGTATCACTGGATTGACAGCGAACTTTCTAAGATCAACAGGTCCACAAAAGGAGCACTCAGTTGCTTATGTAAGTTAACACAGAACAGTAACCATAATGGTGGCTGTTTGTTGAGTTCACAATAGTATTTACGTGCATTCTCTCTTTAATTTTCCCAATAACCCTATGAAGTGGGTACCATTAACCGTATTTTACAGATGAGAAGACTGAGGCAGAACGATAAGGCCTGCTCAAGGTCACACAACCAGAAAGGGGTGTAGCGAGGTCTCGAACCAGTTCTTCCAGTGCCCAAGGGCCTTGGCCCTCTCCTGGTCGGGCCAGCTGGATAAGACATGAATGGATCAGGGATAAGGGATGTGCAGCCAACCCAGAGCACAGCACTGACTGCAGTGGCCTGGCTGGACAGTGCTCTGATTCACTCAGGCTTCCTCTCTGAGAGCCCAACTGCAGCGGGGAGCTGCCTGCTCACAATGGGACAGACTAGGGAACGCGGCAGCCTATGGTCGTGTAGGCACAGACGCCTCAGAGCGGAGGGAGAGGGTGGAGGTCTAATCCAGGAGCATGGCCCATGTGGGTGGTCCAGTCCCATTAACGTCAAAGTTCAAGAACAATGGTCCCCACAGGACCTTGCTCCTGAGGTCCCACTGGTAACTTCTCTGTGCCAAGCTGCCACCAGGTAACTGGCAGCCATGGACAACTGTTACCTCCCCTCCCCATCTGGGAGAGCCATCCCTTTGCTCTATGATAACAGATATCTACCATGTCCAATGCAGCCAAAGGCTCAACTGATGAACCTTACTTCTTGGCCATCCTGGCATTTGGAGGCAGGGGGTCAACCGACTGTGTTTCAGCACAATTCAGCAATGATTTATCTTGGACAGTTCTGCAGGTTGGCAGGGCTTAGCTGGGTGGTTCTTGTGTTCCACGTGGTGTCCACCGGAGCTCAGCTGCTGCTGGCACACCCAAGGTGGCTTAATGAACATGACTGACACCTCCCTGGGGTAGCTAGAATAGCTGGGGCCTGGCTAGGCCTCTCTTCACGTGATCATTTATTATTCAGTGTCTAGTCCAAGCCTCCTTACATGGCAGCTGGATCCCCAGGGTGAAAACAGAAACAGCAAGGCCTAGTAAGGCTTTCAAATGCATTTTGTTGGTTAAAGCAAGTCACTGGACCAGTCACCACTCAAGGAGAAAAGAAATAGACTCCATTCCTTGATGGGAAAAGGGAAATGAGCATACAAGAATTATTAGCAGACAATATTTTTGGACAATATACACAAAATTTAAATGGAAGTTGTTAAATCTTACTCAGCTGTCAGGAGCCCTCTGCCCTTCTCCCTTTCTTCCTTGTCCCTGCCTAGAACATGGATGTGATGGCTGGAAGTTCAGCAGTCATCTTGCAACCATGAGGCAGCCTGGAAGATGGAAGCTATTCACTGAGGATAGCAGAAAGGAGATTAGGTTCCTGATGGTAGAAGAGCTGCTACACCAGCCAGGGACTGCCTACTTCCAGGGTATTTACACAGTAAAAAACATATAGATCTCAATCTTACCTAAGCAATGGTTATTTCATTTTTCCAGTAGGCACAGGTTCCAATATGAACAACTAACAGAAGGAATCACACAGCCCACAATAGAAAACTTCCTATTGTGTAAAAATATAATAAATAGCAAAATTGCTGATTTATTGCTAAGTTCCATTAGAACCATATAAAATATACTAAAGCAAGATTCAAGGTAATGGTTTAGTGACAAGCACCTTGCCTCTAAGGTACTAGGAGTTAGTCCCGGGGAGCTTATGAGTAAGTGTTTAGAGGCTCCTTAATACTTCCATATAAACAGTGCCCGAGAAAAAATACTTTAAATGTCTTTCAGCCAAAACTAAGCTTGAGTGCCTGTTCCGAACTCCTCGTCATTTAGGAAGAATTAGTATGTAAAGTTCAAATGAGGTCACTGTATCTTCGCACCCTCTCACCCCCCACCAATTTCTCATTTCCCATTCAGTCAAACGAATCCTTCTCCAATCACTGAGGCTGTTTCATAGAAGTGCAGCCTGCCTTTTCCTCTTTCTTACATTTTTTTTTAAAATGCCAAGCAAATAGGCAAGTTTTAAAACACAAGACTGGGTGTTTTTTTTTTTTTTTTTTAAACAGATGTGCATAGGAGGACCC